GTRARGAGAGTGCAGCTACGGGCTTTAGTGGAGTGACYGCGTAGTTAACGATKGTTGGTTAACTAGGTTAAAGAGTTTAACCGGTTAATCTCGGATCGTTGGAGCTCATGATCTGTAGGTCCATAAGGTCCCCTGGCTAGCTCGTATAGGAATAAACTTGGAATAATTTGAAGGAATAATTCAAATCGTACGAATTAGGTTAATCATATGAGATATGATTAAGTAATTGATATATGATATCAATTTGAGAAATTTGGACAAAATATTTAAATAGGATTTAAATATTAAAATTATGAATGCGGATTCATAATCGGAGGCATGGATTTCATCAAACATCGGATTTTGGAAAAAGTCAAATAGTTGACTTTGACCAGAGAAAGTCAAAGGTTGACTAAAGTAGATTAAAATAATGTTTTTAACCAAGTTGGTGGAAAATTCCACTAACTTGTTGAGTGGAACATTTAAATAATCTCAAAAATTCACTTTTTGACACTTAGCCATGCCATGCATGAGTGGAATGTGTGTTGTAAGCTCTTAGTGAACTTAGACATGCATTTTGACACTTAGTCATGTCATGCATGAGTGGAATATGTGTTGTAAGCTGTTGGTGAACTTTGACATGCAAGAGTTGCATGTAATTTGCCTATTTAAGAAGGCTTTTGTTCAAACATCAAGATCTCTTGGAACCTTTGGCCATTTGATGTGTTTTCAAAAAGCTTACGTAACTCCTTTTAGCTCCACTTTTCTCTAATTTTTTCCTTCTCTAAAAAGAGTCTCACCACTCTATTCCAAGCCTTGAGAATAGCTAGGAAGATCTCTTGGTGGTCCTTCATTGGAGCTATTTGAAGATTTTTGAAAAGCTACAAAGGTTTGTATTTTTCTCTACTTATCTTTAAGCATCATAATGTATGATCATGCATGTTTAATCCTAGGTTGTATTATGCATCTAGATTGTTATTTCGATTCTTGCTCACTTCCGCTGCGCATGTATGTATTTTCTCCATCATTTTAGATTTTTGTTGTGGAGATTTATTGACTTATGATTTTGTTCTAAATGTATTATAGTATTATTATTGGATTATTATTCGTCTAAATAAATAGTTAATGATCTCATTCTTTGCACCCATATTTAGAATTCTTTTTATCTATTTTGTTTTTGTTTCATGGAAGTTAGCTTGTTCCCATTTCTTAATCAAGAGGATTCAGTACCCATTTGTGATTTGTTATTTGAGATGGATAATTTCACTTGATTGGATTGGATGATTCCAATTTTATGATTAAATATTTTATTTTAAACAAGTCAACATTGATAGTTGAAATTTGAAAAACGCAAAAGATAAGTAAGGAATGAGGGTAGGGTGAAATAGAAAAAAAAAGTTTCATCATCATAATATAATTATAAAAATAAGGAGACAAAAAAGATGAGAAAAATATAATAACACACCCAAACCAATAAAAAAACCGCTAGAACCGAAGTTATACCGCCAAGAACCGAAACCGAAAATAAGTGAATCGACAAAAATCATTATAAACCGCCCTATTCGGTCAATCCGCCAAATCGAACTAACAATTCGACGGTTTATTGGTTCGGCACGGTTCTCCAGCACTTCGATTTGGTTCCATATAAATTTGCATTCTTTAATCGGTATGGCTTCGGTTTTGCTCCAAAACCTATCCGAACCGACCCAATTACACCCCTACTTTATCATATGAGACTGGCTCTGCTGACCCAATTACACCCAAGTTATTTTATGAAAGTCTAATTTACTATTTATTATTTTTTAAGAGGGTTTGGAACGTTGAACTCATGCATGTAGTAATGCCGCCTTAAACAGTTTAAGTTACGAAAAAGTTGGGTCGTTGCAGTCATCCACTTGACGTGATCACTTGCTTCCAAGAACTTGGTGTCAAATATGATCATATCATATCCTCATTATATAAATTGATTTGTCATCAAATAAAAAATATCACCTACCAATAAAAATAACCTAATTAGTAACAAGAATAAACATATCATACAATACTCACCATAAAGGTAGAATTTTGTAGTCAGTATCATGCATGGTTGCTAACATAGAAATGAATTCTTCTCTTTGGACCAAAGGTAGAATTCTTGAGCATATGTTAGAGATCTCATTTTCTTTGAATTCGGTCTAAAATTTCCATACTTGGAAAACTTTGACTTTTGCTCCACAGCTTCCACCATTTGGCTCCATCTAAAATCAACACAAAAAGATATCAGGTTAGTAACAACTTTAAGATTTAATTCATACTTGTAAGGCGATCTCAAAGTCACTAGATGACAGTATGATGGGTCTCTTAAGCTCCATTTTACCAAAAAAAAATAGTGTTCACTAAAACAACGATAACTTTCAGATCACTGCTGAAATTTTGCGATTCTAGTCTTGTTGGACAGCTAACTCAAATATATTTAATACAACACTGGTTTAGCTGGATTTTGAGCTATGAGTAAAATGATATGGATTATTAAGTTTAGGCTTTGGTTTTGCAAATTTGCTGGATTCTCTCAAATTTTATGGTTAAAAAAATGTAACTTTGGCTAGCAAGCTCGGTATAAAGTGACATTTTACTTGTTGGAAGACTTTTTAAATGTTGAACAAAATAAGCAAAGTTTGAACACTTCAAATAAATTTTCGAAATCCTCACAGTCATGCAAAAATGATAGATGAAAAAGCACGTGGAAGACAAGGAACAATATAATAGAATTTTATAGTTTTTTGAACAAGAAAAGTAAAGACAAAGCCGGGAAAGTAAAGATAATCCAATATAGAGCCTAGGATCTAATTCCAAATTATATGTGACAACCCAAGMGTATGGACTAAACAAGCCTCCAGAAACTTGAATCCAATCATATAGATGCTTCAACTCGAAAGGGAAGAGTTTGACAAATTACCTCACGAGTAGACATCTTACTCACTATACTTGAGGCCGAAACACTTCACAAGTTTGGTGATCAACCAAGCTTGAATGTTTCTCAACAATGCATCATAAGTTCTATCACACAAAGGAATACACTAAGAGGTTTGCCTAAAAACAATAAGGTGAAGAGAAACCTCTCACTCTATTTAAAATTCAATGTCTAAGACTTGTCTCAAAGACTACAAAGAACGCCTACTTACAGGCCAAGACCAATGACCTTTACAATGAATTTCCAAAATAAAAATAATCCTAAAATCTAAGGAAAGTAAAAATGAAAAAGATCCTTCTCTAATTTTGAAAATATAATCCTTACCTAAAATAATAAAGAAAATAATTCTCTTAGCAAAAATATAAGAATACAAATTAAAACAAATAATTTAAGGCAAAATAAAATGTCTTCAATCAAATAAGAAAACAACATTCCTTAAATAATATTTTTATGGATGAGAAAATACCTATTTTATACAATTCAAATTCTCTTCAAAAGGGGAAGATATATTGATGACCTTAAGATTCAGGAGAAGATATCATATATTCAAAAGGAGAAGATATCCTGATAGTATCAGGATTCTCCCTAGATTCAGATAAGATATCCTAATGATACTAGGCTTTTCCCTCTATAAATAGAAGGAAAATACTCATAGTTGAGGTAGGTTTCAAGTCCCTATTATTTGTTACGCTGAAATACTCTATTTTTCATACTCGACTACTCCAATTCTAACTTAAGCATCAGAGCTTGTGTGGCAAGAGCCACATCGATCTTTAGTGCTATTCTGTTTTGCAGGTCTCGCCGATCCCTTTTATTCTAGAAGATTGGTGCGAATTTGGCGTGGTCCACGGAAGCCAAATTTCTGCATCAATAACTGGCGCCGTCTGTGGGGAACAATTGAAGCAACGTTCAACCTGATCTACATGCCGACCATTATTCAAGAATATAGATGATCCTCATCAAGTTCGTCAAGAATAGGTTGGCTAGGTGAGATGGTGAAGTGGCTGAGCACGACTTCGACATTCTTAACATGAAGAATTGGACCCCACAATAAAAACTCTACAATACATGACGCTGCATTTTTTATAACCTGAATTGATAGGGCGGAGCCCTCCTGAGAAGCACCATGATATGCGACAACTCAAGCATATTGGATAACTCGAGCCACAAGTCAACTAGAAAGGCTAAGAGTTAAAGGGATTACCTTTGTGGTCGTTACCTTGAGCAGACAGAATACTCACTATGCTCGAGGTCGGAAACACTCCACGAGTTTGGTGACCAATCAAACAAGCATGCTTTGAGGGATAAAATATGAACTCCTAAGTTCAACCACACAAAGGAAAATGATATTTCATGTTAAGGGGTGAGAAAACTCTCAATTTTCTATTCAATGATAATTCCAAGATGTCTAAAACATGAGAGGTACACCCCTATTTATAGGTTAAGGCCCATGACCTTGACAAGGAAAATAACAATATTAAAAATGATATATTCCTAAAGTTTTAAAATCTTGCCTAAAATGTGCCAACTTACTAAGCAATCAAAATAAAATCTAAGGAAAAATAAACTCTATCAAAATACTTGCCTAAAAGAAAAAAGATATTTGCTAGAAAATAAAATAAAAGCAAATAAAAATCTAAAGCAAAAATATTTCCCACAAAGTGCTTGACAAAATAAGAAAATAAAATATTTTCCTAATTTGTCAAGGAGTGGGCGGCAAGGCACTCTAATTTTGG